GACGAGAATCCGATTGTAAAGTTTCGTATGGACGTATATAAAGATTATTGTTCATTAAAGATAAGATATTGCTATAATCAAGAATAATGTTTCACTAGATTGGTTAGAGTTTATTCCATTTAGTACCCCACGTGTTGTATCGAATTGCTAAAAAAACCCTCTATGGTGCACAACTCCCTAAATAGTGAGTTTTTAGGGTTATTTCTGCTATTAAAATAATATTGGGACTTTTTTTGCAATTAGGGAAAAAATGGGGTGCTTAATGCAATAAACTCATTATTTTTTACGTAATACTTCCTCATGCTTACTGATATAGCCGTTTCGGTCAGGTGTGTAAGAAGATCGACAGAAGTCCAAACGGGACTAGTATCTTGCAACGGATTTTCAAAGGAGTTAGTATTTATTACAATTACACGGGAAAAGTCGAGTGCTTCGATTTGGATGATGACCCTCATGGTACAAACGGGTGGAATTGGCAGGTGCAATTTTTTTTTTTTTTTTTTTTTTTTTTTTTTTTTTTTTAATAAATTGTGTAATCACTGTCTTTATAAAGTGTTCTCGATTTGTCTGAAATTTACCAGGCATGCACTGAGATGGTGATGCCGACTTCTAGTAGCAAAAACACGAGTATGTTTCCCGCGTACGATTACGATTACGCCTCCGATGAAGAGTGGTGTTTGGAGAATTACGGTGTTAAACCTAGGCCTACTTGGATCACTACCGAATTCGGTGGACATGTATGGATTCTTTGCTCGATTTACGAGTTTATTGCATTTAGGATCCCATGTGTTATATCTAATTGCAAAAAAACTCCCCTGCGATGCATTTTTTTAGCATATAACTCGTAAATGGTGTGTTTTTAGGGAGTAGTTTGCTAAAAAAAATTGAATCATAGGGGGTGTTTGCTAATATTAATAATACGGGAGTATTTTAGCAATCCTATATAACATAGGGTGCTGAATGCAATAAATCCAATGTTTTATACATGGATTTGTTGGATTCGGCACCCCTGTGTTTTCTCTAATTCTTAAAATAACTCTTCGTGTTATTTTATTAGCAAAAACGCCCCTATAATTCAATTTTTCTTAGCGAACCGCCCCGTGATAATTCAGGGTAATGTGCCAAAATAGGGGTTTTTTGGCACATTTCGATATAACTCAAGGGTGCCATTATAATTTCCATAACTATTTATAATGAATGAAATCCATTAAAAATATTGACTATTTGCTCGTTTTTTTTGTGTGTTTTCGTTGTAAAGGGATTTAAGCATGCATTGAAAAACTTTGGAAGTAACATTATATTCTCAAACGGGTTATTGGATCCATGGAGCGGCGGCAGGTAATTTAACCAACCTCTTTTAACCCGTTTATGTTTATAGATTTAATTACCATTATTGCACTGTAACAAAATTATTTGACGAGAATGAACGATCACCGGTGCAGTGTTTTGGAGGATATATCGGAAACTATTGTCGCTCTCGTCACAGAAAAAGGTAAACTGTTGATTCGGTTGTAAGTTTCTTTCTTAAATTATGTTGTCATTAAGCAAATTTGAGATCGTTTGTTCGATTGGATAATATTAGGGGCCCACCACTTAGATCTGCGTGCTGCAACCGCAGAGGATCCTGATTGGGCTGGGTGGAGCAGAGAGCTGCTGAAGTAAAGTTGATCCAATCCTGGTTAGATCAATACCTCGACAAAAAGAGAAAAGTTTTCGACATGTGAAAAAAAAATAAATAAAAAATAATCGACGAGGTAAACTTTTTAGGAATCTCTACCGTAACATTTTGCCATAAATCTTGTAAATAACTACTAACTCGACGAGGTTTCAGTTTTTCCTCGAGTTCTGAAATATGGATGTATGGAATAATATCGTTGTTTTCATTACACACAACACATGTTGGTGTGTTTGTGTGTGAGAATTCATGGTTTGGCTGTTCATATAAGTAACATTTTCTGGTTAATGTATATATTTCTTCCTGATTATGTTCTTGCAATAATGTACTCTGGTTTTTAATATTAATTTAACTTAACTTAAAAATTAGGGTAAATTACAACCCCCGATGTATGGTCAATTTACGAAAAAACTCATTTTGTTTGGATAATTGCATCTACCTCTCAATTATGATTTTTTCTTACACTTCCACACTTATGGTGTAAAATTCAACATAATTATCTAGATTTTGTGGAATGTGCTCTAGTTTGTACTCGTTTTGTGTAAAAATAGAGTTTCTGATGCACCACAATCTGATATATACAAGCCAAAAAATACATATTATGATCATCTTACTTCAAAATGTGGAGTTCGAATGGGATAAAGCGGGTACAAAAGTGATAATATTCCATATAATCTCGAAGATTCCACTAAATTTGAAACAACAAGGGTGGACGTGTAAAAAGATTTATAGTTGATGGGGGTGATTGTAATTACCCAAACAAGAGGGGGGTTTTCATAATTTTACCATACCTCAAGGGGTGGTTGTAATTTATCCTAAAAATGATGAATGACTAATTGCAATAGTATATTTTCTTTTCAATTCTGTGTGTCTAAATGAGTCGAGTCGACTCGTTTAGAAGGCTCGAATTCAAGCTCGAAGCATCCCATTTAAGCTCATACTTGAGTTCGAGTTTATCTTTTATTCTACTTTATGTTACAAATTATATATACTTATAAAAAAAGTAAAAAAAAATAAAAATAAGAATCACTTGCTGTTTGAGTAATTGAAAATAAGTTCGAGCCCGTCTGAAAGTTCGAACTCAGAGCAAGTGTGAAAAGGCAAAAAAATCATGGAAAAAAAAATTATAATCCCTCTCAAAGCACTTAACCACAACCACCATTAATTAAACATATATAATTAATTAGCACTTTCTAAAAGTAAGATTAAGAAAAATGCCTGGAGGAAAAACAACTTGGAGGATTGAATTAATTGGCTGTAATAATCTTCGGGCGACTCGACTGTCAAAAAGTCGTATGAACATTAGGAAAAAAATTGAAATAAAATTAAAAATTAAAACTTTTTGAGAAGTTGTAATTAAATTTGAAATAAAAACTTTATTGATCCCTACCCTAATTAGTCAATGGATGTGGGTTTTACTTTTATCGATCACTTTATAAATCACTTTAGAAATGGATGTGCGTTGAATTTAGTAGTAAGTGCAGTTGATTTCATATGGAAAAGGCCAAGTCCACGAATAATGTTTATTACATGATACTATAAAATGTCTTTTGTAGTGAAACAATATAATTAATTGGCTTTTGATCTTTTAGTACATCATTTTTTGTTCATACATATGTAATGATTATAGTGATCTAGATTGTCTTAGCACATAAAAGATTAAAAGCTGGGAATAAGCTAAAGATTGAGCTGGATTGATGATCAGTGTTGACATGGAAGAATACTAATGGAATAGACGGTTATGAACTGACGGGGACCGTAGTTGGAACGACCCATGTGTAACTAGAAACTACCGTTCTATTGGGAGAATGTGATGCACATATGATCATATATGTATTGTGTTGATATCACACATAAGAAATTATCCAAGAGAGAGAAAGCAAATACAGTTGAACCTCTATAAATTAATACAGTCGGGATTAGGGAAATTCTATTAATTTAGCGAATTATTAAATTATCGAGTTAATAATTTAACATATTTTCACCGAGTCTGGACCAAGAGAAGCTATTATAATTTAAGCGAGATTATTAATTTATCGAGGTTCTTCTGTACACTCAAATTAGTACAGATAGAAGCTCTAGGTTTTCATTCGTGAAGAGAGAGAGAGAGAGTAAATGGGTCCGAGTGCAGAAACGGGTCACTATTGTTGCTCCTCTTTTTGAGCTCTATGATAGTGATTTCTTGAGAGTCGTATTGTAATTGTAATCTCAAAATGATTGTCAATAAAAGCAATCCGGTGGCTGCTCTAAAGTGGATGCAAATATCATTGATCGAACCACAATAAATAATGTGCATGTTAATTGCTTCTACGGATTATTTAAGGTTTGCATCAGGGTTCTTGAGCTTCATCTTTATAAGATTTGGTTCTTAGTGTGTGCATGCGCGATTATCTTAACAATACAGTAAGCCCAGTCTCGGATTTTGGTAGAATTTGTGTGTAATTTATTAGATTATCATATTAGATTGAGTAGCGTTACAGAATTTATGAAAATTGGTAATAAAAATTGTTTTATGTTCGGAATTTATGTTTATAACCCTAGTGTTTGAGAATATCAATTATTTAGGACA